AGAAGTATGTCAACTGAAATTAATTCAGTTTGAGTAAATAAACGTGATCGCAGCTAATTGTGATCCGTGCAACGAGAAATAAACCAGTGATAAACACTAGGCAACGACTGGGTATGGTTTGGATCCGTAGTATGAACGTAATCAATTCACATGAGATGAAGAACAGGTCAATTGCAAATTTATACTCGCTGAGATGAAGCCAAACTGAAGGGTATTGACCTATCGTGCAGTAGAGGTCAAATGCACACTAATACCAAATGAAATGAAGTCGTGCTGGATAACATTCACGGTCAGTTTAAATATGACGATCCTGATATTCTTAGGATTTCCGGTTTAGGGTAAATCCACTGATCAGCCGAGACAAGGGCTGCAAGTTTTTCACTGCAATAAAATGGTACCGGACATTGTGGACAGTGTTTCAGAATCGCTTGACCAAAACATTATACTAGCAGCTTCACTGAGACGTATTCATAGATTTAATCGAAACTGAACGAAATTTAACCGATGCTCATTCTACATTCCATTGCATTATTTCGACTAATGCCTCTTCGTTAAAAACCTCATGAAAGTTCGCATTATCTAAAAAAAAGCAAAGTTCTCATTAAATAATTAACTGAAAGTGATTATTGCAGTCAATGAAAGTAATCGATCGAAGAAAAGAGTAAAGAATAATGCGAATTGAAAATAGTGAAAGAATGTTTCCAAAATTGCAATTTAAAGTAAAATTAATTACAAAGAATACTTCTTTCCAACAAGGAAATTGTTCGAATGTCGCACTGAGATTAGCCAATTCCCGTTGCCAACCAATCCAAAATCGCCCATTTCGCCGAGTTCTCTTGCACTCGTCCTCTGACTGATTACCAAGTGGTCGTTCGTCCCATCAAACCTGAAATTAAATAATATTAGGAAATGTTGAATGAAATATGATGACGAGGAAACGCGAGATTTTTTTCGTTTTTTTGAATTAAAAAAATTTTTTTATTATTATTTTTCTTTTTTATTTATTTTTTTGCTTTTTTTCATTTTTCTAAATTATTTTTTTAAATTTATTTTTTGTTTTTTTATTCATTTTTCTTTTTTATTTCTTTTTTTGTTTTTTTTTTTAAATTATTTTTCTTATTTATTTATTTTATTTGTTCATTGTTTTCAAATTAATTTTTTCCTTTTTATTTATTTTTTGGTTTTTTTGTTTTTTTATTTTTTCTTTTTTATTTATTTTTTTGTTTTTTATTTATTTTTTGTTTATTTAGTTATTTTTTGTTTTTTTTTGACATTTTCTGATTTTTTAACATAATGAAACATTAGTAACTATAGGGTTAGGCTTAAATCTGATTAAAATTGAAACTAGCACTATAAATAACTCACATCACCTAATACCACACAATTGTCATAATCACAATTCCAATAATAATAACATAATAACTCCACCGCGACATCACCTCAAATATCACCCAATACTAATGATAGTCAACTTCATCACTTACCACTATCAATTCCATCTCCACCTCGTAATGTCGCAACGATTATCACCTAGCGATTCATAGCAATAAACGCATAACAATCGAATCAATTAACACAGCACAACACACTATTCAAAACCTAATTTCACCCGAACGAAAACATTTTCAAAGTAATCATCAACTAATCTTTTTCAATGTTTTTTCTCTCAGTAATCATCAATTAAAACTCGAATCATTTCAGAAATTGAGTTCTCACTTCCGAACCCTCAAACTTCTTCAACCTCAAATCAAGCTTCGACAACTGAATAAATCAAAAAATGATATCATACAATAACATTTTTTGATTGAATGACAAAAAACAAACCAATGAAATATGAAAAATGACTAAGATACCAATAAAGAAATGTGACATACATAGAAACCAATGAAGAAATATGACAATCACTGACCAAAAAACAAACAAACAAACTATGATGATAAAGACAAACAAACAAACAATGAATCAAACGATAAAAAGAAAGAATAACTCGGAAACAATGTTAATAACACAACAAACAAACAAACGAATCATCAAAACAATATTAGAAACTAATAACCAAACAATAACACAATCAAGAAAACGCTCAATTAAAAAAAAAAGATAACGAAAATGCAAAAAATGACATCCACCAATCCAAATCACAATAACCACAACACGAGAGCAGCAGCACCATCAACACCTTCAAAACACAACACACCAAAACAACAGCAGCAGCAGCGACCACAACACAACACCACCAACCAAAGGGAATGACCGGGCCAACAACCTACACCACCAACACCACCAACCGCGCGGAAGAAGGGGGACCGAACCACCGGAAAACGAGACTGCAGTTCGAACAACCCACAGTTAGGGAGCAGGAGAAGTCTACTACAACAACTCACTACAAGTATTGGAGGTCATCAGTAATTTTATCGCCTAATCTTATTAACCCACATTTGAGCCTATTCGGAGGATTTAATCACCTAATTTCATCACCTAATCTCTTCGAACCACATCTGAGCCTAATCGGGAGATTCACAATTTTGTCACAATCTCATCAATTTTGTCACCTAACCGCAACCCGAGGAGAGAAGTTAGTTACTGCGAAAATGAGTTATCTTAAGTTAAAGTGAAGTTATGGTAAGTTAAAGTAAAGTTAAAGTAAGTTGAAGATAAGTTAATACTAAGTTAGAATTAATAATTTCACCGGGGAGTGGGGGGGAGGGCAGCCACCTCAAGCGATTCATACCATAAACACCAGCTCAGGGAACAAGAACAACGACGGCAAAACAATTCATCTCATAAAACATTATACAACAATATGTTGAAAAAACCAATTTCTCGCCAGCAATAAAATTATTGAAATTGAAATTTCATTTTGAAGTTCATTATTGAAATTATTTTTTAACATGAACAATGTGAGCGATACCTCGTCATCCTGTGAGCGAGCACATTACTAAACTTATTCTCATTTCAAAACTAGTGGCAATGCTTAATTTTTTGGCTGTAATAGTAATCTTAATTTTCCTTAACTGCTTCAATACCCTCTAACTAAATTGTTAAAACCATTCCGAGCTTACTGATTTTGTAAACTTGTCTCGTTTCTCAACATAACATAAACAGTTACATTAATATTACAAATAAAACATATATTAATGTAATATATTAACAATAATGTGATAAAAACAATGTTCAATTGATATTTCAAAAACAGGTAACATCTTCTTTCAATAAAATATTAATCAATTTTAATCAATGTCATTAAATAAGTAAACATTATTTAACTAGGTGAATAAACGGACAACGGACAATTCACGAGGACAAAATTGTTAATTATAAAAGGACAACGGACAACAGACAAGGACGAAATTGTTAATGATAAAAGGACAACGGACAATAGACAAGGACAATATAGTTAATTATAAAAGGACAAGGGACAGTAGACAAGGACAAAATTGGTTCACAATAGTAAATAAAATTAATAAGTTAGACAATATTATTAAATGTTAATAACAATATGTACGCCTAGAAACTAAGCATACATTTACAATTGAAAATTTTAAAAATTTCAATTATTTCAACGTATTCAACAGTTTTTCAATTATTCTTTTTATTCTTAATTTTTCATTTATTTCTATTTTTTTGTTGTTTATTTTTTGTTATTTATTTAATTATTTGTTTTTTTTGTTTATTGTTTTTTTAATTTTTTGATTTGATTTTTTTTGATTTTTTTGGATTGTTTTTTTTTCAATTTTATTTTTTTTCGTTGTTCCGCCGCATGAGGTTGAGCTGAATGGCCGCCGTCGTTTTGCAGTTGCTTACTTGCCTATTTATTCTATCGAAAAAGGTATTTCATCTTATCATTTCATCTCTCTTATCACTAGCCCTTCAAAAATGTTATCAGGCCCAATTTTTTCTCACATACCAATCCGTGAAAATTATTAAGTATCTCAGCGCTTTTCTGGCGAACTCAAGCCTAGTTTCGAGCGGTGATCAAATCCTTAGTGAACCTTATGAAAATATCCTAACCCGCTGAGCGCCAATGGAGGTATGAAATCCCAGATCCCGAGCCCACAATAACAATAATTCCCGAACCCAAAGTACTCGACACCTTTACCCAGAGTACTTTTGCATTTCCCGAGCCCCAAACCCACATCATAATATATGATGAAGTATTAATATATTTCCCTCCATTTAGGGCGCTGAGGAGCTGGCATATCCGCCATATGACTCCCCTTCTACAATAGAGTATGGATGCCCAGAATATCAGAAAAGAATTTTTGAGGGCATTTCTCTCTTATTTCTTGGGTGCTAGAATGATCAGCCGCTCTAGGCATGGCTTTTTGTCGCCTTATTCATAACGCTGAGAACTCCAGTGGATATAGGGGTTACTGTGGCTAGATTTTCTGGATCAAATTTCATCAAAATTTTTTAATTTTCGATAGAATAAATTCCATTGATGCGTGAGTTGATGCTTGCGACGATATGATTATACATTTACAATAACAACTCAATGATTATGCAATATCTAGCATAATGTTTTGAACCTATGATACTAACAATACATCGAAACTTAACAGTAATAATAACAGTAACAATAATAATGTAACACACATATAAAATAGGAAAACAAACAACGCAATAATGAAAAAAAAAACAATGTCACGAAAACAAAAACATGTAACATAACACATATCCTATCATGTCTTATTTATAAACTCATATCCCTAGGCTCATTGTGCTCGCTCGCTTATTCCAATTAATCAAAGTTGAACACTATTCTAATGTCATTTTAATTCCATGATCTTTCCTGGAATACATATTCATCTTCATATTCATTCGTTTATATTTGTTCGTCTTATTCTTATTCTCAGTGAGGTAAATCGCTCCACTGTTAAAATTTTGAATCATTCAAATAAATATAACCATTTACTGCTGGCGGCATTAGGTTGACGTTAATATCGTTTGTGTTGATCCAGTTGAGTTGTGCCGTCGTTGTTCTTCTCGCGACGTTCCCTTTATTGAATGACGAGCTGGTGTTCCATCCCGATCTGCTCCATCAAATCGGGATGGTCGGCCTTGAACCGCTTGAGGTAGAGGCAGCACTGCTCTGCCCTCCACGCCGCCTCGGAGGCCAGGTGCCTCTTGCGAGGATTCGTCGGCACCTGAACCTCGTCTGCGTCTTCATCTAGAACCGCGATGTGCGAGTTATCGCGGCCTAGAATCACGAGACGCTCGGCGGCGATTTTACGCGCCACCAACGCCCTTTTGGTGACGCCAACGCACCTTTCGGCTTTATGGGCGTCCAGGACTGTCTTGATATCGGCGGCCGAAGGGTGCGTCGAGGAGGGTAGGGCCACGTTATGGCCGCAGGACGTGCAGAGGGCTGAAATTTTAATTCAAGTTATATTTCGAATTATTATTTATCTTGGACCATTTATCTGAGCGATATCGCTCATGGAACAAAGTCGTTGACTGAACCATGTCATCTAAGATTTGGTCAAAAACTTCTCACCGATACTTTTCCTATATTCTCTATAGTTGACTATAGAAGTTGAAAGTAAAATTTCGAAACAAAAAAAACGAGTGAATAAAACGGATAAAATATGTAAATTAATAACGTACTCTCTTCCCGGTGACACGCGGCCCTCTGCACGTGTATTTTCCAGGCCTTAACCGTCTTGAAAGGTTGGTTAGGCCTGGCACAGCCGGCTAGACGGCACCCTGAAACATTCATTATAAGCAAAGATGAATATATGGTCGCTTGATCATTATTACCTTCGGGATTATTGTTATCAGTACCACTGCAGTTGCAGTCACCTCTATCGCCTTATCGTACAATTATAGATAAATAGTCATGACTAAAGTGCATGATTCGACGAATCATTGAACAGATTTGGAAGTAGTCCGCAGTATGATGACAAGAAAATATCAATTCAATTTTTCTAGAATACTGTCGCTGTCCGGTTCAGATTTTCAGTAATGGCCATACTAAAAAAATAAAAATAATTATCAATCTATGAAAACCTACAGATGGAATTGTCGTCGCTTACGTGGTAAGCTTCTGCGCCTGGTGCCGTTAGCTCGGCTTTATGCTCCGGCCGCAAATTTTCAATGTTCCGCGGCCGGAAGACCTGCGGCTCTGGCTGCTCTCTTGGCTGATGTGGGACGTGGGGCCTGCGTCTGAAAAATGATTATGTCATGATTTTGCGAAACAAGAACGATTGGTTCGTTTATCTTATAATTTATTATTGCTTATTGCGATCATTCCATCCCATATGAGAGGAAAAAATTCCAAATCTGATACATCCCTTTTTCATCTAAAACATATGATCTCTCCTAATTACTTCGCGATTAAATCCTCCATCAATTTCATATCACCCTAATTCGAGATCAATTTAAATATTCAATGGCACTCACTGATCTGTCTTTTGTATCAGATCGTTAATTGCTTGCCGTGAACTTTTTAAAAATTTCGCATTCTCTCAATTCGAACATTTTTTGATAATATAAAGCGAACTCATTAGTGGAATAAAGTATTTTACATGAATCATTCATTCATCAATTATAAACAGTGTCAATTTATTTTGTTCTATCAAACTTTTCAAACGTATTCCTTTCTCAATAAATATGCGAAATGTTATCTTATAAATAAGGTTGAAATTTTACTGTGAACAGACTCGAAGAAAAAATGAACTCACAAGTAGTAATGGGGCTCCGCAGGCCCCTCTTCTTCGTGGGATTCGTTAGTACTGTCGTCGTTAGTCGGTTCGTTAATGTCGTTAGCGCTGTTAATTGGTTCGTCGTTAGTGTCGTTATCCTCATCTCCATCCATAAAGAATTCGTTAAAATCTTCTTCTCTCTCCTCGGGCTGTGGTATCGCTGGTTCGGCGGGTCGCGGCTCGGGGTCGGGTGATGGTCGGTGTTCCACCCGCTCCAATTCCTGAAAGAATACCTCAGTCATGGAATGAATTGAGGTTGGTTGATTAGGCCAAAATTGCTAAATTTCAATAACTGATAGCAGCAGTACGATATGAGCATGCTCAAATGACTTCAATGTTTAACTGATACTAAGGAATGAACCAAAACACTACTCAATGCAATGAATCAGATGTCATCGTTTACTCATTCTCTTCAACGTTCAGTTCGTCGACAATTCAATTTCTATCATTTCAGAAAGTATTAACTTCAGAATATCGACATTATTTCCATTCAAAACATTCAAATATAATCTCAAATATGTAATCAAATTATTATCGAATTATACTTACGTTGATCGGGAGCGGTACTCGCCACTGATCCATTTGGTGAGTGAAATGCTCCGAATCAACGAACTGAAAGATAAATTCGATTATTATTATTGTTCCTAATATTATAATTCAAATTGTGAACCATTATTATTATCCTGTCATCTAAATCGTCTGAATATTATATTAGCATCAAAAGTAATATTCTCATATAATTTATCTGAAAATTATTCAACAAAGAACTTACTTGGAGCGAAGGGAACCCGATGAAAGCGGCGTAACGGTCGTCGGCTTCTCGGATAACTTCGTAAACGGCGCCCGTTACGCCGAACTTCCAGCTCCTCACGTTGTCAAGGTCGGCTCTGTGGACGAGGAGCTGGATCTCCATCACCCGACATATGGCCTCGATTAGCAGGGGCGATGGTGCCCCTGCTTTGAAGGCCGCTACTGAAACCAAACAACAATAAGACACTTTCGCAAAACTCCACAAAGATTTGATATCTTCTTCATCTAATTTCCCAACAATATTTTCTGACGAAAATAATTTCTAATTGTTTACTCGCCTTATTCTGCACTGATCATATCCTAATACATGTGCTATTTCTTAAACGAGCAAGATTTCATAGTTGGTATTTTGAGATCTGTATGAGATTGATATTCGATTGATGTTTTGAGTGTACTGTTTCACATGCTGATATGGTGTTTACTCATATATTGATATTGCATTATTGAGCTTATTAACATTGTTAACGCGATTCCTAGCTATTAGAAGTCATCAGTAAGGTAACGCTGATAATATTGTATTTCATGTTGTTATAAGAATGTGAATATGTAATCTCAAGAACTCATTCCACTTCTTCTTATGTGGTTATATTAATATGAACTCAGAGTTGTCATTTTATCGGTTCATAAGGTTACATTTGCATTGCAGAATTATATTTACATTGACGAATGATAAGAAAAACGTGAATATCTGAATGAATTACATCTAAACTTACATATTGAGTGGCCACCCAGTTCGGGTGGCAATGGGCTTATTGTTAGTGCCCACCCCTCCTCCCTGACCCACCGAACCAGTTGGTGATAATGGGGCATTAGGCTCAACACCCCCAATACTTGCAGCAAGTTGCTGCAGTAGACCTTCCCGCTGCTCCCAAACTGCAGGTTGTCGACCTGCAGCCTTGTTTCCGGATGGCCCGGAACCCCCTCCTTCACGCGCCTCGCGAAACACTTCCTCCTCACTTCCCGGTCATTCACCTTATCTTTCTTCGCCCTCCTGTGCCTCCTCCTCAACCTCCATGCGCTGCTGCTGCTGCCTCCACTTACTCTCAACGGCATTTTTTCAAACTGTAAAATACTTATTTTTGAAAGAATACTTTCAACAAATTTCATAGCCCATAACATCACTTCATTTATCATTTCACGATTGATACCTTTACATACTTCAGTAATTTCTCCCTGATATCCTTGAGTATAAGTGATCCCAAGTCCCAATCAGATTTTCTTAAAACTTACTATTTTCGCATTTCGCGGTTTCGTTTTCTCCAACAAAGTAATACTCAATTAAAATGACTTTCAGGAGGTGTTAGATATCCGTACATGTAGACGCAAACAATGGAAGACATTTCAACAGGCAAAAGTCAAGGTTCAGGCTGTCTGCTAATATCATTGAAACAATCCAGTGCAGCGGACCGAGAAGGCTTGAAGAAGTCACTGATCATTCAGTATTTCAAGTGTAAATTCTTGAGTAATATTCCAATAGATCAATGTGAGTCAGATCAATTCAGCTGTTCATATGAATATAATCGAATAAAAATGCTCGAAAAGATGCTCTCATTTCCATTTTCAGATCAAAATGAATATTTCAAGCGGAAAAGTTATTATGTATTAGCACTTGAGTAGGAGTAATACTTTCATTCTTCAGGCAATTGATATCATCAAGTGATTTCTAAGGCAGCAATAGAATCTGAGAAGGCAACAAGGATTGCTTGTATGTTCAAATTAAATGTCGATTACAAAATGTTTCGGGATAATTTCAGTGCGGCATTGAGACTTTCAAAATGAAAATTCTTTTCTTATTTCAAGCTGAGAAATGTTTTGATATAATATCACATAATAGGCAAGTGTGAGCATACAGTAATAAATATCATGCAGTTTGATAAAATGATATCTTTTGAGGCATTTCCTTCTGAAGACAAGAAAAGTGCATAAGGAATCACGCATGAAACGTAGAACTGCACCAGGAGATGAAATGTCGTAAAAATTGAAAAAGGATTTATGCTTCAGACAATAGGATAGGCCGAAATCGCTCGCTTGTTCTTTTGAAGGCAAGATAAATGAACAGGACACACACACGAAATATGGAATTGCTTGCTTCAATTAAGATGGAATAACGCAGATTGAAGAAGAATTTACGTGTTGTATTATCTTCCAATCATATGAAGTTGGTATTATTGTAGATAAACCTATTGCATTGAAATTTGTATGACTATGAATGCGATTATTAGAATTTGAAGAAGCTGTCGTTGTATCGTAACAAATTATCAGTATATCACATCAATAACGCAACATATCAAAGACAATAACTCAAGCAGCAATGGAGGGAAAAGATCGAATAAATAAATAAATCAAATAACGGAAATGCTTAAAACTTGATTGAAACTTACTTTTTTTGCTGCTCCAAATGAGCTGCCCTCCACCAAACTGCTAACAATTCGAAAAAATCTGAAAATGGGCAGATCAGAATATATGATTGAAAGAGTATAATATGATTTGAGAATTTTAAAGAAATTCAGAAAAATTCAGTTCAGTGATAATAACGATATTAATTCAACGGTGGTAATGCAATTAGTACATTTCAACTTGAAAAGCCAAAGACTGAGAAACAACAACGGATTAGACATGATTATTGTGTCGGAAAGTTTATTCTCGAAAAAATGGTTATAAGAAAGTATGCAAATTAACGAAGTTAATCGAGCAAAAAGTGCGCATGGAAATGAAATCGAAACATACATTAAAAATTGATAATTGTCACCGAACTGTTCTTCACAATATTTTTTTCTTTGCTGGTGTGGTTAGCACCTTCCAAAGCAATTACCTGAATTCAATTAATTGAGTTAAATAATGAAAGATACACAACATGAAGTACTGCGAACGAATCAGGTTAATAGATGGTGCACGGAACGAGCATGACCGCAGGTATAAGTAATTAATCGGAACCGAGGTGCGATATCTATCATTCATCTGAGTTTTCGTATTAACTGAGGAAGAGAGGACCATTCGTTGTCATGTTCGATGGTATTTCTTAACGTCATTCCTAGTTTTTTTTCCATATAGTTATTGGCATTCAGTCATTTTCTCAAAAGAAACTTTTTGAAACAGTCAAATTATTTTGTATCAATGGAACTATCATGTAGGCTGTTGTTTTGGTGATGCATTGTTCTACAATTTCGCTGAGATCAATATTTTGCTTATTTTATAATCGTTGGAACGATTATAAAATATGCAAGTTCTGATAGTGAGCTATAACTAAAAAGTTCATCCGAAAAGTATTCTGCACATTGTCTCAAACTCGGAAATTCATTTAACCACTCGCTGTAAATCGCATTGTGAACTAATGAGGTCTCACGTATACTGAAAAATCGATACTAGTCAATGCATGTGTTGAATTGTCTTTCCTCATTCATGGAAATCGTCAACTGTATAAGCAGCCTTCAGACGTCACACCGTCCTCTGTTGAACAGTAACGTGTGGACATCGTTATGAAAACAACAGTGGTGTTTGAGTAAGTTTCAGACGGCGAAGGAATACTGCATGGTGAAGCATGTAAACAAGTGAGAAGTGTGAACGTGCAACTACGGCCGTGTGATGAAGAGAAGAAATGTGAGAGTGATGAAAGCTGAACGAGGTGAAGCAACTTAATGAAAGTTGATCGGTCAATCAAATTTTCGAGGGTGAGAAAGCAGAACGCTGACTGATTTGATCTAGATGTTCATGTTCATATTACTTTGTTTATAGATATACATGTTACCCTGTAAAATGATCATCGCGGATCATTCAAACAATGTTTCAAAATTGACTGCCTCATATTTTAGCCTTCTCGAATCGTATCAAGCGCAAACCATTCACCATTTTGTATAGTTTGTGCAGTTTATACTGTACAAACTATACGGAAGCCATATATGGGTGCCATCTTTAAGCCTACCGTACTCCCAGGTTCGCCCAGCAACATATGTTAGTGGGCAAATCTGAGAGTACGGTAAGCTTAAAGATGGAACCTTTATAGCTTTGAGATATATTTAAGAAAATAGCTATATTTCCTCAAGTAAGCAGAACTGCTCGAGAAGATATATGATATTCTGAATCTAGAGGTTCTGAGGAATCGAATGTTGCAAATAAATTCACATGTTACTGGGCATACCCGAGGGTACGGTAGGCTTAAAGATGGAACCTCTATAACTTTGAGATATATTTAAGAAAATAGCTATATTTCCTCAAGTAAGCAGAACTGCTCGGGAAATCATATGATATTCTGAATCTAGAGGTTCTAAGAAACCGAATGGTGTAGAGAAATTTATATTTTACTGGACAAACCTGAAGGTACCGGTGGCTGGAAGATGGTGACTCCTATAGAGTTATAATAATGTATACATTCATCTATAGTGATACAATGTATATGAATGAGCGCACTGCGCTATTTGAGATTGATTTGAGAAAACTGCTGTATCTCCTCACGTAAACAGAATTGCTCGAGAAAATATATAATATTCTGAATCGAGAGGTTCCGAGGAATCGAATGTTACAGAGAAATTCATAGGTTACAGGGTAAACCTGAGAGTACTGTTAGCATGAAGATGGTAACCCCTAAAATGCTATAGTAGCGTGTAGATTGATGTATACAATCAATATGAAATAGCGCCACTCTGCTAGTTGAGATAGCTCTAAGAAAATAGCTACATCTCCTCAAGTAAGCAGAACTGCTCGGCTAAATGTATGATATATTCTGAATCAGATTTGCTCAGAATTCTTACGGTTTCTTCACACCGTCGAGTTTCCCAGTTTCTCTTGTTTCATGATAATATATGTGTTGTCGAGCGATTTCGCTTGCTCCAAGAAGTACTGATGATTTTCTGATGTCATCTCAGTTATCTGAGCCGCTCATTCCGATACACAGTATTTGTATTATTCAGTAGGTATAAGAGTACAGTAATATCAAGATCATTACATTCAAAGTAACGGTACCCTCAGATTTGCACTGCATCATTTCTGCCTCCTGTCGGCTTCTTCAGATTCTCTAGTTTCGAAGAAGCATAGATGCTGTCGGGCAATTTTATTCATTACAATTAATATGAATGATTTTCTAAAGTTATCTCAGGTGGCTGCATAACTGATTTTAATGCACACTATCACCGTTTTCGATCTAGCGGTACTCTCAAGTTTGTACGGCAACATGTATTTTTCTCTCAGTCATCAGATTCTACAGTTTCACAAAAGTATGTATGTTGTGGGTTGATTTTGATCACTGTTCGGATATTGTCGATCATCATGGACCATTCATTACACCTGTATCTTCAGCCTTTTTAGGATCATTGTACTTTTCAATATCCGTTAGACAGTAGTTTCTGAAAAGTAAATATCTTTCCGGGCGAAACACTGAAATACTTCAGATGTGGCTTCATCAAGAAATTGCATTTTGCTCTTTATGGTCGTACTGCCTATAATTATGGTCACAAAATATATCACTTGAGGTCACCTGTAACCTCAGCCTTTTCGGGATCGTGGTGTTTTTTGATATCCATCCTGCAACTAATGACTTCAAGATTGTGAAAACTATATTTTCTTGATCGAGAACTTCAAATAGTTCAGGTATGTTTCATGAAGAAGTAGCAAATATAGTGCTAAAGCAGATTCGGAATACATCGGCAAAAATTATTTCGCTCACATCAACATGCGAGAAGGTTCCGGTGAAGCTCCAATTCGCCTAGTCATCTTGAGATTTGAGAAGAGGAGAATTTAATTTCAAGATTTTTTCAACTGACGGGTTTTTAAAAATTCGGATATCTGAATCTTGATGATGAGCGAGTAATTTGGTATGAAATCTCACATAATCTTTGGTATCATTCCGAGATCTATCCAAAGACACATACTGATCCTTCCGGTCTTATCAGGTTTTGAGTTATGACCTCCTGAAAGTTGTGGATATGGAAGCTGTGATGGTTGATTCGATGAACTGTGGCATGTTTGCAGAAAATAATTTTGCTGCAGCCCTCTTGTAATTAGTGTCATTTGATAGATTTGACTGAGAGAAGCACGATAAGCAAATTAATTTGTTGAGGCAT